GGCCCCCGAGCCCACGCTGTCGTTGGGGAGGGAGCGAAGGCTGACTTCCCGGCCCAGCCCCCACCCGAGCCCCAGGCCACATGCGCCAGCACCCGGGCTCTTCCGGATCACAGGCCCTTCATGGTTTGGATCCTAAGAGAACCCACCTTCCCTACCTGGGTTTTCAGCAGATTGAGAAACAAAACCGTGGCAGGTGGAGACCAGAGAAGAATGCTGCTCCTGCTCAGCGAGAAGGTGGAAATGCCGTCTCCTGTGAGAGCCAGGAAACCGGCCAGCTGAGCCCCAGGATCATGCTTCCCCCGTCAGAGCCAGCGCGGGCCAGGCAGGCCGTCCCCTGGGCAGCAGAGCCTTTGGGGAGCAGTGCCCCCGGGGCACAGCCTTGGGGTGCACAGCCTTCCTGGGGACCGGCCCCCTCAGGTGGAAGGAGGGCTGACCCTCCCAGGTTCAGCAATGCATGAGGTGCCTTTGGGGTGGACATTCTGGGGATGGAGAAGGTGCGGGAGTGGCACCAACTGCGTCCCTCCCATTTAGAAGCAGCCCCCACATTTGGGGGTGTTGCCCCCCAGCTACTCTAGCTCGCTGTGGTGCTCATGAGGCCCCTGGTCAGCCAGGGTCGTGGCCTCCTTGGAGCGGCGAGGAGGGGCCTTCGGCCTCAGGCTGCCTCAGTGCACCCTGCCCTTGAGCGCTCGCCTGGGGCCTCAGGCGGGTGTGCCTCTGAGTGCGTCAGGATTGACCATTAAACCGCTCCGCCTCTGCCCGAGGCCGCCAGGCCACTCTGTCCTTTACTCCTCCTCCTTGATGTGCCCGCGTCCACCCAGCCCCCAGCCATCCCGCCACCAGGTCCAGTGGCCGCGCATGAGCTTCCAGCACAGCCGCCACCCGTGGTGTCCCTCCCCCTGCTCCCTGCGCTCCAGCGGGAAAGGAAGTCTTCATGGCCAGCCCTGTGCGCTCAGACCAAGCCCAGCTGTGCCTCCTGTTAAAGTGCACGGACACCAGCGCTCTGTCCTCAGCTTGGGCTCTGTCTCAGCCAGGGGGCCTTCCGGGTCTCCCTGACGCACACACTTCCTCGGCGCCCCGAGTCCTGTCCCTCACCCCAGCCTCTGGCCGCCCTCACTTCTCAGGAGATCAGTGTGCAGCAGTCGCGCCCCGGGAGAGCCCGCCCCGCACGCCCAGGATCACAGAGGGCTGCAGGGACGGGGCAGAGATGGGGCAGAGAAGGGGCAGAGACGGGGGAGGGGGGCCGTTGGAGTCCCGAGCCGTCCCCGGGATCCGCTGGGAGAAATCTCCCAGAAAGCAGTGGCGCCTGAGCCCGTGCATTTCCGTTTCTGGAGAAACGGTCCAGTGGTCTCGCAGGCATCCCTGGCTCTGTGGCAGCGCCCGCTCTGGCTCGGAAGCGTGCGTGTGCCCGTGCCCGAGTGGGCGTGGCTGTGGGCGTGGCCGTGTTAGACGCAGAGCGTGTGCCCATGGGGCCCTCG